AAACAGTATGGAATTTTCTCAGAAAAATAAAAATCAACCTGCCTTTTGATCCAGCAATTCCACCGCTAGGATTATATCCTAAGAACCCCAAACATCAATTTCAAAGAACCTATTCACCACAATGTTCATAGCAGCACAATTTACAATAGCCAAGAGCTGGAAGCAACCTAGGTGCCCATCAGTAAATGAATGGATAAAAAAAATTGTGGTACATATACACAATGGAATTCTATGCAGCAGAGAGAAGGAAGGAACTACTACCCTTTGCAACAACGTGGATGGAACTGGAAAGCATTATGCTGAGTGAAATAAACCAGGGGTTGAAAGACAAATACCATATGATCTCACCTTTAATAGGAAGCTAAACAACAAAACAGACAAGCAAGCAAAATAAAAACAAATACTCTGAAATAGAGAACAGGGGGACAGCGACCAGAGGGAAGGGAATTGAAGGGGAAAAAATGGGAGGGATTTAGAGGGACAAGTATAAAGGACTCAGGGACAATAACTAAGGGGGGTGTAAATGAGAGGGAAGTGGGGTGCATGGGGGAGGGATGGGCTGGGATGGGAGAAATAAACAGAAAACTGCCCTTGAAAATTAACTAAATAAAAATTTTAAAAATAAATAAAAATAAAAATGTAAGAAATGATAGAATTGGAAAAATCACTATTTGGTGACTACATCTGCAAAATTTGTCATGTAAGAATCACCAATGAACGTTAAATATAGTTAGTAAAAGCTTAAGATGGACAAAGCTATGATTGTCTAGTTTCAAACTATGTACCCAATTGATATCTATTAATTACAAGGTTAAAATAGTAACTTTAAAAAATGGTAAATTGGCAACAGAGAACCTGGCAGACACTATCTTAGCCATTTGATCGAGGATAAAAACACTAAGTAGAAAAATTAATATGATATGGTTTCTATTAGTATGCATTGTGGTATATCTGCTCAAACTCTAATAAAACTGAAACATACATACAGTAATACATACATGCACACAGAGGGTACACATAGTAAAACCTTAAACATTGGGGAATGTGGGTAAGGCCTTTCCAGAAATTCTTGATACCATTTTTACAACATTTATATATCTTTAAAATCATTTCCAAATAAAAAGTTGAAAAGTCCTTTGTCTCAGCTGGCACATGACCAAGAAGAAAGGATTCCAGGCATCACTGGAATCAAGGACGCTGTCCCCTGGGACTCCAGCCACTCTGGCTCCTGGACACACAGCTCCCCAAAGGGCAGGCAGAATTAGCCAGAAGCTTGGGGACTGGGTGTCAGTCTCTCATTAGTAGGGTTATTTTTGAGTCATTTCTCTGGAGCTGTTTAAAGAAAGTGTAAGTCTGTACAAGTGCCAAAGCCCCAGACATTTCTTCTGTTTGTGAAGAAAACTCTTCAACTGTATTGCCCTGAGGAGTTGGGCACAGTCTGGAGCAGGTGACTCAACTCAGCAAAGACGAGCACAGGTCAGAAGAGCTGGATGTCTGAACTTGGAACATATCTGCCTGTGTGCTGGTAGGTTCATATATGAGAGTCTGTGTCCATGGCTCTGTGTCTCTGAGTCTGCATGTACTGTGTATGCTTGTGTACATGCTGTTGGATGGTTGCATCTGTGTGCACATGTATGCACATGTGCTTGCTATCTGACTCAGTCTGACTCTTTTCCCCACTTAGACCTAACCTGGCCCCATTTTAGCCCATGTACACCAAGTTATCGGCCTCCTGCCTGTGATTAGGGACTCGATTCACGCCTATGATCGAAAGTACTTGCTTCACAGCTGAGCATTGGAGGTGACATTGTTGGTTCTGCTGCTGGACAAGAAGATGCCTGACTTCGTGGGAGCCAAGGTCAGGTCAGAGAGGGCTCACCAGCATACTTCTGCTCAGCAGTGTGTGCTGGTGTACAAGTGAGCTGTGTCTATGGGTGACACACTAGTGTGTGAGAGCAGGAAGGTGTATTGTTTGGTTTTCTATGTGTTACTGTGTTGTGTGACCACAAGCATGGGATGTTGGTGGTGGTTTAATGAGTGTGCCTGTGACTGAATAGGCTTAACTGCCCCATGCTGATGGCCTTCCTCCAAAAAGGGGATGGGTCAGAAGAGGCAGAATCATGCCCTCATTTTTAATAGGAGGGTGTGTGCTACCTGTTGTAGAGTGTGTGGCTGGGTGTGCACATGTGTTATTTGTGTGTGTTTCTGGTGAGATTTTTAAATTTGTTGTGGTTGTTGTGGTTTTGGTGATGTGTGTATAGTGTCTGAGTTTTGTGTGTGTGGTGAATTGAGTGTTTACCAGATGTGTCATGAGTCATGTGTGTTGATGTGCATTTCCAGTGTGTTTGCACTGAATGCAGGTGAATAGCCCATCACTGTGTGTAGTGTATGTCTCATTTTGTGTTACTTATGACTTGTATGTATGTATTGGGTTGGCCAAAAATTCATTTGTTTTCTTCCATAAGATGGCTCTCATTGTACTTAGTTGTCTTTAACTTCACTCAAACGAGTTTTGTTAGATTGTATTGTGACAGCTCTCATGCCAGTGTGCATTTTAAAACTGCTTGTCAAAGTCGGTGAATTTTCCAGCAGCCATTTTAATACTGAAGATGGGAGAAAATACCCAACATTTTCAGCATATTATGTTGAATTATTTCTAGGAAGGTAACAATACAACTGAATGAAACACAAACAAAAAGGATTTGTGCAGTGCATGGAGAAGGTGCTATGATTGATTGGAAGTGTCAGAAGTGGTTTGCAAAGTTTTGTAGTACTTTTGACACTTTGGCCAAATAATTCTTTGCTGCGGGGGCTGTCTTATGCTTTGGAGGATGTTTAGCAGCACCCCTGGCCTCTATAGACCAAAAGCCAATAGCAAGAGATAGCCAACATACTCAAATATCCAAATCAATAAAGTTATTGGTGAAAATGAAAAAAGTCTTATTTTACAGAAAAAAAAAATGTAATGGACTTTTTGGCCAACCCAATATGTGAATGTTTGTGAGCTGAGCCACATATTAGCTCTCCTTCCTTTAGCATGGGAAACTGGTCACAGGTAACTGAAATTTGCAAATCACCACTGTGTGTGTGTGTGATCTGCATCCATGTTCTTCAGTGTTTCCTTAAGTGTCCTCATTCTAGGGCACCATTAGCTCAATTAACCAAACTCTAAGAAAATCCCTGTTTCATAGAACAAACTGGCTGTTATTTTCATGTAGCTGGTATGCTCAGAATTTTGCAACCCTTTAGTTTTATTAAACTTCGAGGCCCCTCACCCCAAAAGAAAGAGAGAAAGAGAGATAGAGAGAAAGAGAGGGGGGAAGTAAAGAAAAATAAAAAGAGGAAATAAAAGGAAAAGGGAAGAAATGAAAAAAAAAGAAAAGAAATAAGAATGAAAAGAAAACCCCTCCAGACATCCTGCTGTGTGAATGTGTTGTGCAGAATCACCATCAACTGGTGGTGAGACCTTCGAAAGTTACTTTAATCCTAGGCCTCATTTTCCACATTCATGTGGGAAGAATTATATTGGCATTTTGAATCTTATAGAAGCCCTCAGAAAAGAGTTATTGCATAAACAGAAGATCATGTATAGAATTTTTTGGCAGTTGAAAAGTATATGAAAAAGAAGGAGTGAAGTTATGTAGTAAGAGGATTAAGAAAAGTTTGGACAACTTTCAGTCCTCACAGCTCATATTGTGCTTGACCCTCCCCCCAAACAATAAATGGGGAGATTCCATGTGAAATGGTCCTGAGGATGCATTCTGATCACACAGATCTATTAGACTGAACCCCAAGAGGTAGCTAATACACACTAATTTTTAATTCATAGGAAATAGGAGGCCCTGGCTGTTGCAGATTAGGGAATTGAACACCAGCCTGTGCACCAAAAGGTTGTTGGTTTGGTTGCTGATGAGGGTGGGCCAGGTCCCTAGTAGGAGGTGAGTGAGAGGCAACCAATTGAAGTATCTCTTTCATATAATGTTTCTCTCTCTCTCTTTCTCCCTCCTTTTTCTTCTCTCTAAAAATGAATAAATAAAATCCTTAAAAAACTAAAAATGTGATTATCAACTATGAAAAGAGAAGACACAAGTATGCATCAAGTTTATATATTATATATCACCTGTAATATAGACAGATACGCACATGTGTGTGCACCATTTTGTCCCCCACCCTGCCATTGTGTGCTTCTAGAATTGGTATCATTTATGTTTCTATTTCTTAAAAGGTAGAATACGTGAAAGACCACAAATTCTTAGTGCAGCTGTGGAGAGGTATGAAATTCTGGCAATTTAAGTCAGGTGTGTGGATTGAATCAGGCAATGTAGGTAAAATCCTTAGTCCAGTACCCAGATATTAACCAAAATGTTCAGCACTTTTATGAAAGACAGTTTGTGGACTTTTCTGGTTTCGGAGCTATTGTGGCATCAATTGGCTTTAAAAAGCCACCAGTTCCGAGAGTGTCCCTGAGGTTACAGCTGTAGGTCAATGGGACTCAGCAGATTCACAGGCAGAGTGTCACATTGTTCCAACAACTCCTTAGCAGTGGAGTCTCATGTTTACTTAAGGCACACACAACTGATTCCAGTTTTCAGGGCTCATCTTCCAATTCTGCTGCAATGAATTGTGTATTCACTGGGCTGGTGTACAAATCATCATACCATGCTCACTGAGATCTAAATTCCCAACTTGCTTTTCCTGTTCACTGCTGCATCTGAGTCCTTAGTAGAGTCCCGACACAGACTCTGCGCTCAGTAAGTAATGGCTGAATGAAATGGTAAACACCTCCTGCTTCTGTGCAATGAGATCTTATTGGCTGCTTATGGGTTTCAAAGATTTCCAGGGACCACACTGGGATACAGTGAGGATGCACGCTTTTACAAGTCTAACAAATTAATAATGTGTAGAACAATTCAGATTTTTCTTAAAAACTGCAGTATGAGATGTGATGGTCTCAATCCTGACATTCTCCAACCTTCTTCATCCTCGGCAGACACAAGAGCAGCATGAGGCCTGAGAACCAGAGCAGTGTGTCTGAGTTCTTCCTCCTGGGGCTCCCCATCCCTCCAGGGCAGGAGGGCATGTTCTCTGCCTTGTTCTTGGGCATGTACCTGACCACAGTGCTGGGTAACCTGCTCATCATCCTGCTCATCAGGCTGGACTCCCGCCTGCACACACCCATGTACTTCTTCCTCAGCCACTTGGCCTTCTCTGACATTTGTCTGTCATCTGTCACTGTTCCTAAGATGCTCATGAACATGCAGACTCAGCAACAATCCATTCCCTATGTGGGATGCATTTCTCAGTTATATTTTTTCATACTTTTTGGTAGTCTTGACAATTTTCTTCTGGCAGTGATGGCATACGACCGGTACGTGGCCATCTGTCACCCTCTACACTACACCATCATCATGAGGAAGGGGCTGTGTGTGCTGCTGGTGACTGCCTCCTGGATTATAGCCTGTGACCATGCACTTTTACATACCCTCCTGCTGGTCCAACTGTCCTTCTGTGCCAACAATGTCATCACCCACTTCTTCTGTGACCTCACTGTGCTCCTGAAGCTCAGCTGCTCAGACATCTCCCTCAATGAGCTGGTCATCTTCTCTGAGGGAGGAACGCTTTATTTTCCACCTTTGGCTATTGTTTTGGGCTCATATATCCGTATAGGGACCATCATCCTAAGGACTCCCTCCACTAAGAGACTCTTCAAAGTGTTCTCTACCTGTGGCTCCCACCTCCTTGTAGTGTCTTTATACTATGGGACACTTGCTGTTGTTTACTTTTTGTCCTCATCATGGGATTCCAAAAACATAACTGCTTCAGTTATGTATACAGTAGTTACCCCCATGCTGAACCCCTTCATCTACAGCCTGAGGAACAGAGATATAAAGAAGGCCTTAGAAATGTTTGTCGACAGGATTAACTTATTTAAGTAGAAATTACTAAATCCTCTTATTGAAGTCAGGAGCACAGTGAGGTACATGTCCTAACACTATTGTAAGGAGGGCATTTTCATATATCTTTAATAGAATATTCACTCTGTTGTCATGTATTAGTCTTGTTAATATATCAATGAGCCATGTTTGCTACTCATATTGTCCATAATTCTTTATTCCTAATTGACAATTTTTCTTATCATGTATTCTAAGCAATATGCAAAATCTTATGCCAAATATACTGCAGAACTGTAATTGTCCATTTGTCTTATTCTCCCTTTAAATATGTCAGTTTTTGCTTGTGTAATTTTACCCTTATTCAGGACACACTGATGTAACACCATGATCTACTCCTGATGAATTTTTTTGAACCGATTATTTTATGCTGGCTTCTGTTGGCTTCAAGCTGATTGTGCACATGTATTCCCAATGTACATTCAGTAACATCATGTTGGTAAAGTGCAATCAGCCATGATCAGAGTATTTTCTGTATGAAAATTGGCATGTGGTATAAAGTAAAGCTTTTAACAAAAGAGACAGACTTTAAAAAATACTTGGTACATTCATGTGATAGAATACTACTTAGCAGAAAGAAAGAAGGAGCTCCTAGCCTTTGTGACAGCATGGCCAGAACTAGAGAGCATTATGCTAAGTGAAATTATCCAGGAAGTGAAAGACAAATACCACATGATCTCACCTTGAAGTGAAACCTAATCAACAAAACTAACAAGCAAGCAAAACATAACCAGTGACATTAAAATCAAGAACAAACTAACAATAACCAGAGAGGAGGTAGGAGGGGATAATGGGGGAATAATGGGAAAAGGTTTTTAGGAACAAGTATAAAGGACACATGGAGAAAACCAATGGGGGCGTGGAATCACGAAAGAGAGGTGGGGAAGGCTGGTGTGGAAACAGAGTAGTGGGCAAAAATGTATAAACATCTGCACTTCAACAACAATAAAATTTTTAAAATAAATAATAAAAATAATAACGTATTAAACAGTACATGACTTTGTTTTTAATTCAGAAATATTGCTACCAAGTGGGGGTGGGATAGGATGGAAGTAAAGTCAGAATACTGTAGTTGAAAAATAATTAAATTAAAAAAAGAAATATTGCTAGCAAGTGGTCCTACTGTAACACCTTATGAACTTCTCATATTGGTATAGGTACCTTATATCTGGTCTTTATATATATGAGTGTGTGTGTGTGTGTGTGCATACACACACACAGATATAGAGATAGGGATACTCCATCTCAAAGGTAGTAAGGACTCCACTTCCACTCTCTTGTGGTTAGTATTTACATGGTATTTCTTCCCCCTCACTTTAAACTTTTCTATGTTCTTACATCTGTGAGGTGTTTGTTGTTAAAAGTGCAAAGTAGGAATTTGCTCTTCTTATGTACAGCAACAATTATTTTATTTCTGGAGAAGTTCATCCATTGACACCTGGTGTAATCATAACATAGTTGAATTTATATTTTCTGTATTTATTACTAGGTTTTTATTTGGCACATTTGACATTGATTCTCTTTCTTTTCTTAGTTAAACATATCTTGTTATTCAATCTCCTTCCTCTTATTATTCACAAATTATTATTATTATATCATTCTCTTCTGTGCTTTATGCAGAAATTACTTATTACCTTCTCTTTAATTTTTAATTGTAGTTTATTTTACAAAACATGAAATTGGCCATTTTGGACATTTGAGGTACACAACTCAGTGGCATTTAGGAGACTCATCACCAGTATATCATTCTAGAACCCCTACAGGAAACACTACAGAACATCGATGAAACTGAGTATTTTGCACCCATGGAAAAGAAACAACAAAGATATCTATGATTCAATATAGAGAAGTAGCAGGATATATTGTTAGATGAAAAAAGCAATGTGTAAAGGAGCATTTATAGCATGCTACATTTTTTTGAAAAAGAAAGGAGAAATAAAAAATACATATGTCTGCCCATTTGAGCAGAAATAAACACAGGAAGGATAAATCAGAATAATAAGAATATTTATGTACAGGAGTGGGAACAGAAGAAATGGAGAGATTAGAATAATTATTTGCATAGATTTGACTATGTTGTCTATTGCCACAAAATCAAAATAAAAGAGGCAGCGGATAAAGCAAAATAGAATAAAGAAAACAAAGGAACCTAACTATATTTCAAATTAATATCATAATTAGATGAAAAAGATAAATAAAAATGATTAACAAGTAACTCTTGAACCCCGAATTTTATCTTTATACTAACACAATAAAAAAACTGGAAACAAAGTCTTTTTTTAAAATTTTATTTAGTTATTTTTCTTTTTTTTAATTAATTTTATTTAGTTATTTTTCAAGTACAGTTTTTTGTCTATTTTTCCCATCCCAGCCTCCCCCACCCCTTGCTCCCCACCTCCCTCCCATTTCCATCCCCCTTAGTTCTTGTCCCTGTGTCCTTCCTATTTGTTCCTCCAAAGCCCTCCCCCTTTTTTCCCCTTAACTTCCCTTCCCTCTCCCCTCTGGTCCCTGTCTCCTTGTTCTCTATTTCAGTGTCTTTGGTTTTTTTTTTCTGCTTGCTTGTTTATTTTGTTGTTTAGCTTCCTGTTAAAGGTGAGATCATATGGTATTTTTCTTTCAATGCCTGGCCTATTTCACTCAGCATAATGCTTTCCAGTTTGGAATCAAAGTCTTAAACTGTAGCTAGTATGTCATTAATAGTGGCAGAAGTTCAGGATTCTGAAACAACTTCCTATGTATCCAAAGGTTCAGAAAATAGGTAAACACTGAGAAAAAGGGAATGACTCCTCTCTCACAGGAAAGTTCCTGTGTACATGAAAAAGTAGAGCCTGGAAAGAACTCTGTGGTGTCAAACTAGAACTAGGGACATCAATTTGAACTCACGGGTTTAAAAATGTATACATAGATACAAATTTATATGTCACATATTGACAGGCATACTGTTCCCATACTCTGCTCTTTTTGTCCCTCTTTTGACCCACCTCAAATAGGCAAACATTCCTGTAATTTCATGGGTTTAAAAATGTATACATAGTTTCAAATTTATATGTTACACATCGACAGGTATACCATCCCCATACTTTACTCTTTCTGTCCCTCTCCTGACCAACCTCAAACAGGCAAACATTCCTATAGTTTCTAGTTTTTGGTGTTTGTGTTTCCTTTTTTTAAATTTATTTTTTGCTTTTTTCTATTACCATTTATCTCCTTATATCCTCTTCCACCTCTATCCACCCCCTTCCTTCCAACAATCACCACACTGTTGTCCATGCCATGAGTCATTTTTTCTTTTTACTTGACCCATCTACTGCATACCACCCCCTGCCCAAGAGTTGTCATCTTCTTCTCTGTGAATCTGTCTCTATATTGCCTGTTAGTTTAGTTTGTTCATCTGTGATACTGTCCTATAATTTTTTATCAACTGGAGCTTTAAATGAAATTTTGTGCATTGGACCTTTATGAGGCTTTCTGACTCTACAGCTGTCCTTCCTGGCATATAGAAAGCTTTCTGCTTTTCACAGATGGATGGTATCTGGGCTCCTTAATGGCTCTGGTGCTACAAGGTTCATAGCAGCACAATTTACAATAGCCAAGAGTTGGAAGCAACCTAGGTGCCCGTCAGTAAATGAATGGATCGAAAAATTGTGGTACATATACACAACAAAATTCTATGCAGCAGAGAGAAAGAAGGAGCTCCTACCCTTTGCAACAACATGGATGGAACTGGAAAGCGTTATGCTCAGTGAAATAGGCCAGGCATTGAAAGACAAATACCATATGATCTCACCTTTAACAGGAAGCTAAACAACAAAACAAACAAGCAAACAGAATAAAAACAAAGACACTGAAATAGAGAACAAGTGGGCAGTGACCAGAGGGGACAGGGAAGAGAATTTAAGGGGGAAAAAGGAGAGGGATTTTGAGGAACAAGTATGAAAGACACAGGGATGAGGACTAGGTGGGGAGGAGATGGGAGGGAGGTGGGGAGATGGGGCAGGGAGGCTGGGATGGGAGAAATAGACAAAAAACTGTACTTGAAAAATAACTAAATAAAAATTTTAAAAAATGGCTATGGTGCTGTAGGCTAGGGAGCCCGGCTTGAGGTCTGAACCCTCGATTCTCAGGGGAACACCCTGGCCATTGATATATCCCTCCAGAACTTCAGCCACTGCCCATGGGAGCCCAGCCAGCCCTCAGACACCTCCTCCACACTCTCTACCAGTCTCATTGTCGGTGAAGTTATTTCTTCTGTCTGTCTGTGGTTGTAAGGCTTCTCTCCAGCTCGTGTTCAGTTGCTTGCTCAGGACCATTTCTCTACAATTTAGTTGTAATTCCAGATTGGTTTTGGGAGGAGGTTAGTGTAGCTACCACTGACTCCTCTGCCATCTTGAATCTATGGACCCTGATTCTGTTTCTGTTCTGCTTGTTTGTGTTTTTAGATTCAATTGTTGATAGTTATGTATTCATTGCGATTTTAATATTCATACTTTTGATCCTTTTCTTAAATAAGTCCCTTTAACATTTCAAACAATAATAGTTTGGTGATGACAAACTCCTTTAGCTTTACTTTGTTTGGGATGCACTTTATCTGCCCTTCTATTAAATGATAGTTTTGCTGGATACAGTAATCTAAGTGTAGGTCCTTGCTTTTCATCACTTTGAATAATTCTTGTCAATTCCTTCTAGCCTGCAAAGTTTCCTTAGAGAAATTAGTCAGTAATCTTATGGGAACTCCTCTGGTGGTAACTATCTGCTTTTCTTTTACTGTTTTAAAGATTCTCTCTTTATCTTTAACCTTTGAGAACTTAATTATGATGTGTCTTTGTGTGGTCTTCTTTCTGTCCATCTTGTTTGGGACTCTCTCTGTTTCCTAAGCTTGTATGTCTATTTCCTTCACCAAATTAGGGAAGTTTTCTCCCATTATTTTTTCAAATAGGTTTCCAATGTCTTACTTTTTCTCTTCTCCCTCTGGTACCCCTATCATG